TATAAAATAGAGGACACGAAGTTGGCGGGGGCATGTAGTAGTACGGGGGGAGTAGAGATGGGGAAGAAGGTCTGAATATGATCAAATTACAATGCATGAAGTTCCGAAAGAGTCAGTATGCTAAAATGATAGTAAAAGAAACCAAAACAAACAAAGCAACAGGCCTGGTTTATCACTTTGGCTCGGAAATATTTAGTAGCTGTTTTCTGCTGAACAAGACACACGTCTCAGCCTACCTGTCTCTGTGGCTTTGCTGTCCCTAGCTTGTCATCCATTCCATTATCACTTTCCCCCATGCTTATCTCTTTCCCCATTGAAACAGCCTGTCTCAGTACCCAGCTCAATGCCACCTCCTACACAAGACCTCAGTTTCTGACTGTCTTAGGGTACCATGTTGCCCTTTATGGCTGTTTGTATACCACTGTGTTCCTAATTAATCTGCTCCCTTTTTATTTATTGTAAAGCTGAGTGTTGTTCCTGAACATAGGTGCTCAGCATGTATCTGTTTGGGACCCCTTCTTTGATCTTGTTCTTTTCTTCCCAGTGTCCACACCATCATAACATCCTCTCCTCCCAGTTGTATTGTTATTTGCTGAACACATCAATAGAATATGTCACGTATGTATTGCTAGATGTATTTGTTTATGGTGAGGATGATGTAATCCTACTGTTAGCCATTTCTAACGTATCTGTTCTTAAATGAGGTCTTAGTTTATGGTTTCATTATGCACTGACTTTTACTTTGGGGATAGTGCTACTAAGTTACACCTTAAAACAGATTCTGTTCAAATGAAACTGTTTGTATTTAATATTTTTAGTTACAATGCCATCAAATCATATAAGACAGAAGGAAGAGCTGAACTGTTAGAGCCAACAGAATACCTCATCTCAGCTGCTGAAGCTGGTAAGACAATGAGTAAACATAAAGCATCATTTTCCGAGAGGGAGGTGGGGGATGGCGGGGAGAGCAGGCACGCACACCTGGGCTTGCCTGGAATTCCATACGTACGCCAGGCTGGCCTTGACCTTCTGATCTTCTGTCTCCAAGTTTGAATTTTTTTGTTTTTAAAGACAGGGTCTCCTGTAGCCCCAGCTGGCCCGAAACTCACTATATAGATCAGGCTAGCCTGGATTGCACAGAGATCTGCCTGCCTCTTCCTCCTGAGTGCATGCAACACCATGCCCAGCTTGATTTTTTTTTTAAATTCTCAATAAACTATTTATTTAAACAAAAAGAATAAAATTCCATAAAAGTTTAACAAGATCTTTATATGATAACTAAATGGAGCATTATACAATACTAATGTATTATAGGTATCATAATAAAGATGGCAACTCTCCTAATTAATCAGCTTGATTTTTTTATGCAGTTTTCTTTGAGCATTAGAGATTTAAATATGCTCATTTGTCTCTGTTATGAATCTCTAATAGACTAAGATGATTTGAGTATAGTGTTTGTTTAATGATTTCAGTTTTTAAATTATATTCAGTAACTTTATTCTTTTGCTCCTGTTATATGCTGTCCAGAAGGAGAGTATGCCCCATATTGTTCACAAATCCTGCTTTGATACCTTAGTGTCTTCATGGTTATTGGATGTTTAAGGCAAGAGTTATCTTACTTTTGAATACTCGACCAACAGAGACATGAATCATGATAGGATTTTATATTGTTTGTGGAAAAATTCCTCAGGAAACTCAAAAAATCAGAAATTTAACCAGATGTGGGGTTTTGTTTGTTTTAGATTCTCATACAATATGCTCAGACTGACCATGAACTCCTGATCTTCCTGTCCACCTCCCAAGTGCTGATGTTACTATGCCTGCCACCAGATGAAATTTTTAACAAAATTATCACTTTCTGTAAAGAATGTAAAATGTAGTCTCCTAGATTCCATGGTTATTTTGAGGCATAGTGATTAATTTGAATGGATTTGAGGAAGGTTGTAATGGAGCTGGGGTGGATGTGTGTGCACACATGCAGATGCACCAAGTTCCTAGTTCTCTTTGATTAATCCATAGTCCCTCTGGTTTAGGCAACTCCTAAGATCTGCAACTCTGTTATTTAGCCACACTGTTTAGGAATCAAGATAGCTTTGCTTTCCTTAAAAGGAGAGTATTTCGTATTTTCATCTCTTTCTTAATTTACCTCTCAAAACCACAGGAAGAACTTTTTGACCACTAAAAACTAAGTTTACAGTCTGACCCCTCAAGACTTGTGCCTTAGAGACCCCATCTTCACTGTTGAGATAGAATTCCTGTTGCAGACACAGCCACTTCTTGCCTTGTTCTTTTAGACTACCTATGCTTAGTTTATGGAAATCTCAGTATATCCCCCAGCTCTTCATTATATGGACCTTTGTTATGCTTGTGTGTATAGTGTTGAAGAACAGTCTATATGTAATAAGCTGTTCTTCATTTGGTTTAAGTGTATTATAGGTATCATAATAAAGATGGCAACTCTCCGAATTAATCAGCTTGATTTTTTTATGCAGTTTTCTTTGAGCATTAGAGATTTAAATATGCTCATTTGTCTCTGTTATGAATCTCTAATAGACTAAGATGATTTGAGTATAGTGTTTGTTTAATGATTTCAGCTTTTAAATTATATTCAGTAATCTTTAAATCTGATTATAGGAGCCATGACCCTCTGCATTACAAACCCATTATGGGTAACAAAAACTCGCCTTATGCTACAGTATGGTGGTGTTATTAGCCCTCCACAGCAACAGTATAAAGGAATGTTTGATGCACTTGTGAAAATATATAAATATGAAGGTGTGCGTGGATGGTACAAGGTAATTATCATAAATACTTACTTTCATTTTTATGAGTGTTTGCAATTCACCTACAATATAATTTGATGGTATTTAGATCCCCTCTTCTATCCACACCTCTCCTTATTGTCCCTGAGCCCAATTTAATGTCTGTTATATGTATAATAAGGCCTAAAAGTCTAATTAGTGTCCCCAGATGTCCTTCAGTGTGGGTCTATTCTCTGGAGCCTGGTTAACCTACCAGAGTCCCATCCTTGAAAGAGAATGACTCTTCCAGCAGCCATCTGTTGCCATGATTTCCTTAGGTTGGGTTGGGTTTCTTACCCACTTCTCATGTCTGCTGAAATTTTGTCTGGTTTGAGTTTGCATGGGACTTGCGCATGCTGTCACCATTACTGTGTATTCATATGAGTAATTGACCAACTGTCTGGAAAACTGTTTCCTTCCAGTCATCCACCACCTCTGGCTCTTACAATCTTTCCTCCTCTTCTTCCATAATGACCTGAGAGCTTTGGGAGGCAGAAATTTGATATGAATGTCCTATTCAGGGATAAGCACTCTGCAGCCACCTCTTCTCTGTACATTGGCCAGTTACGGGCTTCTGTGTTAATCACCATCTGTTGCATAAGGAAACTTCTCTGGTGAGACTTGAGAGATGCTGACTTCAGAGCCACATCTATAGTGTTGGAAGGCGTTGTGCATGCTACTAGAAGGAAAAAATAATCATAAATCCTACCCAACTGTGAATCATGTGAATTACAGTAACAACTGGCTTGGCAATATATGCCCACTGGTGCAATAGCAGCACAAATATTATGGGAGTAACCAACCACTCTTTCATTAGATTTCAGGTCTGCTTCATATGTTGGAGCCCATACCTGACATTAATATCAGGCTTAGGAACCTGAGGCTAGACGGATCACGGGATTATAGGGGAGAACCTAATGTTATTTTTCTACTAAATTGCTATCATATTAAACTGATTCCTAATGACTTATTGTTATACTCATAAATACCATTTTGAATAACTGAGAATTGTATAATTTTAATTTATATTGGCTCATGTTTTTGCTTTTTGTCTTGCTTCAGGTTTGGTTTTGGGTTTTGGTGTTTTTTTTTTGTTGTTGTCATTGTTGTTTTTTTAACAGAGTCTTGTTATGTAGCCCAGGCTTGCTGTGAAGTCCTAATCTTCCAGTCTAAGCTTCCTGAAGACTGGGGTTGTAGACATGTGCCATCATGCCTGGTTTTTTGTTGTTGTTCACTGCCTTGAATTGAGTTGAATGAAAACTTAAGTCTCATTTATAATATTGAAATAGTACTTTAGGATGTGTCTCCTCATTATTATAAGGTGTGTTTTCATGACCCTGATGTGAGAACTATCTAAAACTTTTTCAGGTATCTTTTTAGTAAGTCACACTGCTAGATCACCCATTTTTTATTATAGCCTTTGGAAATTGTGGTGTCTGAGGTCATGTAGAAGTGGTCACTGAGTTTTAATGGGATCTTATTTTATTGGGACTTTTGACTGCAAACATTGTATAAATTAAAAAATAAAGCTGGGCGTGGTGGCGCACGTCTTTAATTCCAGCACTCAGGAGGCAGAGGCAGTCAGATCTCTCTTGAGTTCAAAGCCAGCCTGATTTACATAGTGAGTTCCAGGCCAGCTGGGCCTATAGGGAGACCATGTCTCAAAAAAAAAAAAGAAAACAACCAAGCCAGGCATGGTGGCACATACCTTTTTTAATCCCAGCACTTGGAAGGTAGAGGCAGGTGGATCTCAGTAAGTTCAGGCCAGCTGGGGCTACAGGGAGACCCTGTCTCAAAAACAAAAAGAGAAGAAAAATTCAGCCTCTTGACTGTTTGTTTTTGCATTGCTGGGGATTGAATGCAGTATATTTGAAATTTCCTAGTCACAGCAAGATGTTTTCTGATTTTATAATTTACTTTTTCTTTCCTTACTTTGTCCTTGTAGTAGTTACTTTTGTATATCACTGTGTCCATAATATCTGACAGAAACTATTTAAAGGAGGAAGATTATTTTGGTTTGCAATTTCAGAGGTATCAGTCCACCATGTTGGGAAGGGAATGGCAAAGCAGCTCAGTTCCCAGCATGCCAACTATAAACAGAAAGAAGAACTGCCAGTGTGTCCTGGCTTTCTCCCTTTCCACCTTTCATTCACTCCTGGTCTCCAGCTCAAGGGATGGTGCCACCTGTGTTGAGGGAGTGTCTGCCCCTCAGTTAATCCTTTGTGGAGACATCCTCACATGCACATCCCACATTCACCTCACCAGTCAAGCCAACAGTGAAGGAACTGCCTCACACCTGTCTTCTTCTACCACCTTTTGCCTATCCCCTTTTGCCTATCCCCATTAAAAATATGACTTAGGCCAAATTAGATGCATTTAATTTTACTTTGTTTTTCAAGAATTGTTCAATAACTTAAAATATCATTAACATTATGAAGTTGAAGTTATAGATTACTGATCTCTGAACAAATTTTTAAAAATTATATCATTTAATTTTGCATTTTCTTACATTTTTTTCTTATTCTTTTAGAATACTAAAAAATGCTCCATTCTTTGAAATACCATTGCCTTTCTTTTCTTTTTTGTCCTTTTTTTAATTATTATTTTTTTTAATTTTATGTGTATGAGTGTATTGCCTGCATGTATGTGAGTGCACCACTGTCGTACAATGCTGTGGAGGTCAGAAGAGGGCATTGGATTCCCCTGGAACTGGAGTTAAGGACATGATTTGTAGCCACCATGTGAGTTCTGGGAATCAAACCCAGGTCCTCTGCGAGAGCAGTCAGTGCTCTTAACCACTGAGCCATCACTCCAGCCCCTCTTTTTTGTCTTTTTGAGACAGGGTCTCCCTGTAGCCCTAGCTGACCTAGAACTCGCTGTGTAGACCAGGCTGGCCTAGATCTCATAGCAGACTGCCTCTGCCTGTCTGCCTCTCTGGCTCTCTGCCTGTCTGTCTTAAAAAGAAGCGAGTACTGTTTTTAACCCTACGTAAAAAAGTTATGATTTATGTAAAAACCTAAGTGAATTTGCTTAAAGTAATATACTAATAAAAGAGAGAAAATATTTTAAATGCATCTTTTATTGAAAGCTGTCTAACTTTTCTTCATCATTCATTTTTAGGGATTTGTCCCTGGGCTGTTCGGAACATCACATGGTGCCCTTCAGTTTATGGCATATGAATTGCTGAAGTTGAAATACAACCAGCATATCAATAGATTACCAGAAGCCCAGTTGGTAAGACGATTCTTTTAAAATTAACGTGGTGGGTCTGGAGAGATGGCTCAGCGATTAAGAGAGGTGGCTCCTCTTGCAGAGGACCTGGGTTCAGTTCCCAGCACCCACATGATAGCTAACAACTGTTTATAACTCCAGTTCCAGGGCATCCAACGCCCTCTTCTGACCTCTGCAGGGATTGTACAACACAGGTGCCCTTTCACACGTGCAGGCAATACAGTTGTACACAGAAAATAAAATTAATAAATAAAATATTTAAATAAAATAATGTCATGGGCCAGACATGGTGGCACACACCTTTAACCCCAGCACTTAGGAGGCAGAGGCAAGTGAATCTCTGAGATCAAGGCCAACCTGGTCTACATAGCAAGTTCCAGGCCAACTAGGGCTTCAGGGAGACCCTGTCTCAAAAAAACAAAATTATATAATGAGACAACCCCACATTAAGCAGACAGACTTTGTGTTAAGGATGGGACCGTATTTTTTATATATTTATTTGAATGTTTTTTTCTGATGTAATTTTTACTTCTATATTTTTAAAGATGTCCTATTTAAAGAAAACCATCACTGTCTTATGTTGTCATTTTAGAGCACAGCAGAATATATCTCTGTTGCAGCATTATCCAAAATATTTGCTGTAGCTGCAACATACCCATATCAAGTTGTGAGAGCCCGTCTTCAGGATCAACATGTGTCTTACAGTGGTGTCGTGGACGTAATCATGAAGACATGGAGGTGAGAGCAGGAGGAGCATCAGTGTTGCTTGATGAAGTGCCTTGCGTGTCTTAGACTATTTCAGACTACTTTCAAAGCGATGGCCAGTTTTCTATGGTGAAGACAGAGATGGTTGTCCTTGCGCTCCCATTTACCACATGTGATGATAATGTCTCTGAAGCCTGATTTCTTCATTTTACAAATGAAGCTTTGAAACACAAAATTCAATTTCCCACTTGGCAATATGGCTTATAGTCAGTTCTGACAAGGTTGTAAGAAAAATGAAACATATGTAAGTGCTTTGAAAAATTAATAGATCAGGGGCTGGAGAGATAGCCCAGTGGTTAAGAACACTGGCTGTTCTTGCAAAAGACCTGGGTTCGAATCCCAGCACCCACATGCCAGCTAACAACTGTCCATAACTCTATTTTTAGGGGATCCAACTGCCCCTTCTGTCCTCTGCAGGCATTGCACAATACGGGTGCACTTACATATATACAGGCAATACACACATATACGTAAAATAAAAAATAAATTTGAAAAAAAATTTTTAAATATTTTATTTTTATTGTATGTGTATTGTATATATTGCCTGTGTGTAGGTAAGTGTACCCATGTCGTGCATTGCCCGCAGAGGACAGAAGAAGCTGTCGGAGTCCCTGGAACTAGAGTTATGGACAGTTGTTAGCTGCCATGTGGATGCTGGGTTTTGAACCCAGGTCGTCTTCAAGAACAGCCAGTGTTCTTAACTGCTGAGCCATCTCTCCAGCCCCTGAAAATTTTTTAAAAATTAATAGAACAGAATTTAAGTTTCAAAGTATTTGATTGGCATTGTAGATAAGAAGTCAGAAACCTAGTTGAATATGTTTGAAAAGGCCTATTCCTGCTACTGACGCTGTAACTTTTACAAATACTTGCCTCTATGTATGGAAGAGATAGTTAGCTTTATGTCTGAGAATAATTATATTATTATAGGTAGAGTGCCCCATGTTTTCCTTAATTCTAAAATGCCTGAGGAAAATGTTTAAATTTAGTTCATGTCAAGAAATAGTGAATGAGAATCTATATGGTAACTTACTAAGCCTTATTCCCTATTCTGGACATTGGGTAAATAAAACTTTAGTTGTGTTGTTATTTTCTGTAGCAGTTATGTAAGCTAGATCGTGAACTTACTGTTTGTTTTTGGTTTGTTTTTTTTTCATTTTGTTTTGAGACAGGGTCTTGCTGTGTAGCTCTTGCTGGTATGGTACTTAATGTGTAGCCCAGGCCAGCCTCAAACCTGTGGCAGTCCTCCTGCTTCAGCCTCCTTCTGAAAGCTCTTCATAAAAGAAATGTAAATGGCTCATAAACTGTATCTCTTTAGTTCATTATATATGTGGACTTAAAGCCATGTTTAAATAGAGTAAGGCTTCACTGCTTATTCCATACCTTGTATTAATTAACCTTTAGTATATTCATACTTGCTATTTAGAAAATTAAGCATGTACCTATTTCTCCCTTTCAAGGAAAGAAGGCATCAGTGGATTTTACAAAGGAATTGCTCCCAATTTGATCAGAGTGACTCCAGCCTGCTGTATTACCTTTGTGGTATACGAAAATGTCTCACATTTTTTGCATGACCTTAGAGAAAAGAAAGTAAGCTAAAAGAAGATTTCCAGCATATCTGCTTAAGCAGCAGCAAGCTCCTTTGTGTTTAAAACACAGAACTCTATTGGTAGCCCTCCACAGCCACCATACAAAAGAATGTTTGATAAACGAGAAAATATATAAATATGAAGGTGTACATGGGTTGTACAGGGATTTGTCCCTGGGTTGTTTGGAACATCACATGGTGCCCTTCAGTTTGTGGCGCATTAATTGCTTAAGTTCAAGTACAACTAGCATATCTATGGATTACCAGAATCCCGGTTGAGCACAGCAGAATATATCTCTGCTGCATAATTATTCAAAATATTTCCTGTAGCAGCAACATATACATATAAAGTCATGAGAACCTATCTTCAGAATCAACAAGTGTCTTGCAGTGGTTGATCAATGTAATCGTGAAGACATGGAGGAAAGGAGGCACTGGTAGATTTCACAAAAGAATTTCCCGCAATTTGATCAGAGTGACTCCAGCCTGCTGTATTACCTTTGTGGTATACGAAAATGTCTCACATTTTTTGCATGACCTTAGAGAAAAGAAAGTAAGCTAAAAGATTTCCAGCATATCTGCTTAAGCAGCAGCAAGCTCCTTTGTGTTTAAAACACAGAACTCAGGAGAATACTACATGGCTACATGGCTCAGAATCAAAATTTGCCTATGTTCATTAGAAGTCAAAGGACTGCTAAGTCATCTTCTCAATGTTTTCTGCTTTTGCATCTCCATATGTATGGAGCTTGGCTACCTCTGTCTGTATTGTCTGCCATCAATGTAATACTGAAACTGACAGCCAGTATAGAGATTCATAAGATTTTCCATTTCATTGTTCAAGAAGAAGCTAATTTGCAATATCTGTAAATAGATATGATGACTGTTCTTTTTCTGAACTCATTTGCCTGGATTGGTTTTAAACTGACCTTTGTGCAATAAGAAGGAAACAGAATGCTGTTGTGTATTTCAAGGATAAATTAAAGTTTGAAGATTTATTGAAGAAGATGTTATGCCTGCCAACGAGCCCATTTTGAATGGGGATGCTTGAGTTAGAAAAAAGTTCACTGTAAGAGTGCTTTAGTTTCAATTTAATTGGAACACACTGACTATAGAAATTGGAGAAGTTATGTATTTCTATGTGAAATATCTGACATCTTTTGCTGTTCATTGCTTTCTTATTTCAAATGTAATTCTGGACCTAGTTCTTGTTTTTTGGCATGGTTAGTTAAGTTAGTTTGTTAAGTTAGTTAAGTTTGTTAAGTTAGTTAAGTTAGTTTGAGTTCATAAAATCTGGACCTCCAGGATCCAGTTGTATGAGCCTTTATTTAGCATATATGGTTATAAATCACTCATCACAGGTATTAGATTGCATTTTACAGATGCTAGAATGTTCAGCATGAGTTTGTTGAAAAATTAAATAGAAATGAGCATTTATTTTTTACCTTAATTTTTTGATTTATGGATCCAGATTCCAAATAAATGATTAGTCTATATTGGTTGCTCAAATTCAGGTTGAAATACAAATTATGCTCATGGCCATTATTGATTTGGTTTGTGTGTCATTATGGATCTACAAATATAAAAGCCTACCCTCCAAAGGATGCCAGAATAATACTAATGCGTTATTTATCATAACCATCTGGCAGTGCTATTGCACTACCATCTGTTTGTTATAAATAAAACATTATGGTCAAAACTATATTTAAAATAGTTTTTTGAAAAGTAAATATTTTTATATTTTTGGAAATAGCATTTTTTAATAAATAATTTATTGAGAATTTCATGCATGCATATAAGGTGTTTTGATCAAATCCATGCCCACTCCCTCCCCTCCAACTCCTCCCATACCTCCCCATCACTTTTTTTCTGATTACTTCATGTACTCTTCTTTGATTGATTTATTTATTTTTATGGGGCTTTTGGCTACTCTAACATTCCCCTCCTCTGAAAAGGTAACCCTAAAGTCTTTTAAGGATTAGATACAAGCTCCCAAATACTTTTGACATTTTGGGGGAAATGGCATTGTTTTTTAAAATAAAAATGAAATAGTTGGATTTACTATAATTTTTAACTTTAAGATTTTTATAAATTATGTATTTCATAGTTCTAGATTATAGGTATAATTCACAGTAGATTCATCCTGATACCAGCATCTATGGTAAAGCAAGCTACAGTTGATATTTGAAGTTTTAGAGGTAGCACCATTGCTTGACTCCTCCAAATTAGTCTTCTAAGAGCATATAAGCTTGTATAACAAATATGTGCTACTGACTGCCATTCTAGATTAGTCACATGCGGGGAAATTTCTCCAAAGCCCTGGTGCATTCTGAGAAAGAACTTGTTTTACTCAGCAGCAGCGGGCACCAACCAAGTCGTGGCTCTGGCAGCTGTGTTGCCAAGGCATTGAAGGTGTCGCAGTAAGCTTACCAGCATCGCCTCAGATTGGTGACATACAAAAGAAATGCATAGGTAGCATAGTTTTAGGTAGAGAATGCTAGAAGACAAGCAGAATTGAGAGTGCTGTTGCTGTCTTAGGAATGTGAGGAAGGGCCTTGTTGAGATGCAGTGTTTGAAAGAAGAGAGCAAACTACAAGGAGATAGAAAAAAGCATTCTAGGCTGAGACTAGGGATTACAAAGGCCCTGAGGCAGGAATGAGGCTGGCTAAGGGGGTTGGGTGAGGAGAGCAAAGCCTGGAGATGTGGCCACTGCATGTGGTAGGAGGAGTACAGGTGGAGATCCAGACTGGCTTCGAATTTTGGCATTTTCATTCTCTGTTTGGCCTGAGACGAGCTATTTTACCCATCTTAAGCGCCTTTGTTTGTAAAATATTGTGTTAGACCAGTTCTTCTAGGAATACCCAAGATAGAGTCTTGGGGAAGTGACTGGGAAAGTGCCCTAAGAAACCTATTGCAGAGAAAAGAAAATGGGAGAAGGCAGAGGAAGTAGTTCGTGGGTAGTACAGCTTTAACCTGACACTGCAGAGCACTGCAGAGGGAATTGGACCAGGTTGTCCAGCCCAGAGGTGATCTGAACAGGCCATTTAGCTACAAAGCAACAGTCATTAACTTACTATTGGGAGAAGCAGGCTGAAGGGAGAGCAGTATCAAGTTACTTTGGGGAAGGGCAGTTGCTCCAAGGGCTGATGTGAGCTGTTAGCCAGTACCTGTGGCAGCTGGAATATGGATGAACCAGTCCTGAAAATGTGGTGTGGATGTGTCAGCATCTGCTACAAATGAACACATTAAAAGTACATAGCTCTAGGCTTATTGACAGGATTAAATGAATTCATCCAAATAAGGGGCTTAATGCAGTGGCTGGACTGACAAATACTCACATAAACCAGATCTTGTAGACCAGTAAGAAATTTAGATTGTGTGGGAGATCATTCTGTAGTGTGTGGAGAAACATCAGGAGGCATGCCAAGAAGCAAGGATACTAGTTAGGAAGATTTACAAGTGTCTAGTCAAGAACTGGTGATGACTTGGTCCTGGTTGATGGAGTCAGAGATGGTGATTTACAGCTTGCAAGAAACAAGATTTCAAAAGGGCCATAGGCCGGGCATTGAAGGAAGAGATTTAGAAGAGAACCATCCAGGTGGTAGCAGAGGCGACCTGTCCTGAGCAGTGAATTGTCAGTGTAATAAATAAGATAGCAAGCTGGAAGGTTGAGACCAGAACTTGAGGACTTTTGGAGCCCTACTAAGCATGTTGAGGTTTTCTTGGGTAAAAGAGTAAGTAGAACAGACATGATTATGTCTTAGCGATGACAGGGGAAGACACATCAGATAGAGAAGACTCAAAAATGAGATGTCATCTAACCTTGTAAATCTTCCACTAGGATGAAGATTGATGCCACTGATAACTTAAAAGAAGATTTGAATTAGAGAACCCAAAGACAGATTGCAAGCAGCTGGGGGGGTTGGGTGAATGATAGGTATTCATTTCGTTATGGGTTCCTCTTTCTTAGCATACAACAGATAAAGGAAAGGTAAAGAGCTATAGCTTGAAAAAGGATTTTGAGTCAGGAAAAGGTAGATGTAGGGGAAGTTGGCAAAGGGAAAACCAGAGCATGCCAAACAGCTCTTGAACACAAAGGAACAACCAACAAACACAAGTGAAATAATTTGGAGCTGTGTACCAGAGAATGATCCAAGACTGAGAAGTGTCATGCCCGGTGTGAAGGCTGTTCTGTTTCAGTGTACACTTTGTGACCTATTTAAGTTGATGTCTTTAGGGAGTTTTGTTTTTCTTTTCCACCATATTGAAAAAGGGATACTAACTAAAAATGATGTTTGAGCCAGGGCGTGGTGGCACATGCCTTTAATTTCCAGCACTTGGGAGACAGAGATAGGTGGATCTCTGAATTCCGGGCCAGTCATGGTGAGAGTTCCAGGCCAGTAAGGGCTGCAAAGTGAGACCCTGTCTCAGAATTTTAATTAGCTTTTAATTAATAATAAAAATTGACAAGGATGTTTGAGTTCAGGAGTCATCAGAATTAGATTTTGCTGGGGTATGGGCATTCTCAGTGGAAATTATAATCCTGTGTACAGTATTTATTACCACTTTCACAGCAAGGTCAAGAACTTACAAAATGACATAGACTTAACCTTTGTGCTGTTTTCAAAAATTGTGTTAGGTAACATGTAGAACATATGTGAAGTTTTGGGTTACTTACAGTCTGAAATTTCTAAAGAATTAAACAGAAAATAGACTATAGATAACACCTGTAATGAATACCTAGTATTAAGTATCCATTCTCTGCCTTGAACGAATACCTGTTATTAACTTCCATTTCTCTTCCTTCTTGAAAGAACTGAATAGAATTGCTTATAGGAACCTACCCCCTCTCTCCATTCCCAGCTTTGATTTAGGTGGTCCAGCCTCACCTGCTCTAGAGACGGGCCTTGAGTTGCAGAACACATCTGCATGCACCATGTCTGCTTATCATCATGAATCATTTGGGACTGGCACAGTTAAAGCTGCCCAATCAGTGACTGCGAAATTTTTTCCTCAGTATCTTGGTGTAGATTCCCTGATGCTTTATGAATAACTCAGGCCTCCTAAAATAGAATTGTG